CCCCAAAACCCCAAAACCCCAAAACCCCAAAACCCCAAAACCCCATAAGCAGACAATGGAATAGAAATTATCAGAATTAATATGAATTCCTCTCATAAGATTCTTACTAACATCAACTACATCAGCCATATCATTAAATATTACGGCTATCTGCAGGAGTGAGCCAACCTATTTAGAAGACTATGCAAGAAGTCCCAATCTGAGTGGGACCAGAACCAAAAGGCAATAATAAATGTAATCATGAACACCCCAGAGGCAAGGATGGTAATCAATCTTGGACATGAAATAAACCCTCATGTTTTGGAGTTTTTAATAAATGGAGATAAATTTAACTATTATGCAATTGAGTGCTCTTTAGCTGAGAAAAAAACATTTTAAGATCTTTATCAGCTTCTTGGAAATGGTTTCTGAAAGAAACAAAGAACTAGGAATATGAAACCCTAAATTGTTCACAAAAGTGATGATAGGCTGCAAATAAATCACTATCTATACATCTAAAGTTTGTCAAGAAGTATTCTGAATTTGGATATGACTTAAGCTGCATCAAGATGGAGAACCACTGGACATTATCAAAATTATTCAAGACAACGAAATTAAAATAACAGCTCTGATTGAGTTTACATTGACATTATTAAGTGCTGGCCATCCACCTTCGTTGATTTATATCCTCGATGAGGAATTTTAGAATTTGATGTATGTTGAGAAGAAATCAATCCTGTTCTTCAAAAACATTTTGAGATTCTACAGATTCATCCAGAGAGTTTGAGCAAAGTTTCTGAAGTAATGACTCAACTTGGCTCTCAAAATGTTCACTGTAAGTCAATATCATTTGATAGCTCAATGGCTCCCCTTACTCAAAGATTAAATAGAGAAATGCTAGATTTTAATAAAGGAATTTTGGCTCAAAACTTGGAGGATGTGCTAAAATATTTTCCTAAGGTGACTACGATCAGAATTAAACAAAGATATAATTCTCAAGATCTGGATGCTTTCCAAATAATGATTCAGAGCAAAGATAACAGCACTTCACGCTTGGCTAACATCAATTCTCTCTACTTTAACACTTGCCAAGACAAGAATGAGAAAGTTCTTCACATAAACAAATCAAAAGTTGAATTTATCATTAAAATACACTCAGATACTTCTGGATATGATGAATTTTATGTCTTACAGGCAAATTCTTTTGAGTATTATTGCCAATCATACGTCAGTTTTGATCAAGTAGATGACATTTTAATCTTGAAAAGATCTTCTCATAACTTCTACCAGTTCAAGATCAAAAACTACAAGCTGCTCTACACCGAAAAAGAAGCCTTGCAGCATGAAAGATATTCTGAATATATCAAGAAGCTGTCAGAGCTTAAAGACTTGAAGGTTGCTGACATCTGCTTGATAGGTGTAACAGAAAGAGTTTTTAAGAGTACAGCAATGCAAATGATAGTTTCCAATAAACTAAGTAATCACAGACCTCATTACTTCATTGAAGCTTATAAGTGAACAAGTTATTCATTATATGACTGAGTTAAGTATGATAAAGTTGCACCTCTTTTAGAATCTTTGAAGGGACAACTCGTATCTGTGTACTTTCTGAAGGAGTTCTCAGGTCATGAGATCTTTAGAGATATTAATCTTGATAAGCCAGAACCTGAGTCAGACCAAGAAAGTTCAAAGTCTCAAGGAAACGAGGATAATGAGTCTTCAAATTCCAAACAGAAGGATGAAGACTCAGAATCTAGTGAATTTTATTTTGATATGTGATCAAAATGAAAGAAAAACAATGGATATGGAAAATTCATAGAATTTCTTGATAAACTTGAAGACTGTCACACTCTTGAGTTTAGATCAGAAGCCCTTCATAACGATAGGAAAGACTGTAAAGAAAGACTCTTACAGTTTTTAAAAAATAACACTAAACTTCGAGACCTTGAGATTGCTACCCCAAATAAGGATTTCTCTATCCAGGTATTAGATTCGCTCACAAACAATTATTCTCTGAGGACATGTATCCTTGAAGATTATGGTTATGGAGAAAGTGAAAAGAAGGATGAGTACGACAAAAAAGTCAAAGAGTTCAGCAAAGATAGGTTTGATCTAGAGTTATCCTCCAAAACCTCCTCTTTCTACACAAACTACCCTGACACAATCTAATCCCATTTCTGATAAATTCTAATACACCTTCAATCCCTTCTTCTTCCTCTGGGGTTTTGGGGTTTTGGGGTTTTGGGGTTTTGGGG